CACAACACACAAATATGTGACAGAAATGAACACGACGGACACAGCGGTGCTTACCATATACACAATAATACACCAAAAGTTTGGTTCTAACAATAGCAATGCTATGGTTTTGTTTGGATGCGTTTTTGTTACTTTTTTATAATTGTATTTAGGTTTAATTTATTTTTTATTTTAGTTTGTATGTATTTCCATTTGGAAAGTTTAGTGCTTCAACTTTCAACATTTCCAATTTTTTAGTTCAACTTTTTCTTGAACTAAAAGTGAGTGCTCATGAAAAAAAAAACTCACTGTACTAGACAAAAAGTCTGGGGTCTGTAAGATTTTTTTTGTATTTTTGAAAGAAGTCTCTTATGCTCAGCACAGCTGCATTTTTATGAGCAGAAATACAGTATAAACAGTAATAGTGTGAAATATCATTACATCTAGTATTTAAATTACTGTTTACTATTAGAATATATTCCTGTGATGGCAAAGCTGAATTTTTTTAATAATCTTTCAGAAATCATTGTAATATGCTGATTTGTTCCTGATTTGACAAATGTAAATCGAATAAACAAATATGTGAATGCTGTAAAGCTTTTGAGCTACAGTACAGTGGTTACAAAATTGGTTTTATTAAACTTCTCATTCGGTGTGTATCACAGCCTATTTGAAGTAAATGGTTTACCATCAGGTTTAGATTTCCTGAACAACTTGATAAAAGTTGAGTCACTGTGTAAGTTAACGTTAGACCTTTTGCTCCGTTAATCAGATAAGAGAGACAAGATCATTCCAAATTTAGCCTAATATACACATGTTAGTAATGCATGCTGTGAAAGTAATACATGAAGTGCAGTCACAGTGTCGTATGTTACAGTACAGGAAAATTTCGCTAATGTGGAGTAATTTAAAGTAAATAGTCCACATCTGACACATTGAATTAGTGGTTATGTGAAATAATATTTCTACCTTTAATCAGCACAGGCCTGGTTTCAGAATCAAATCAGTGCTTCTGAAATTAGTAAGGCATGCACATCTATTTCGACATATATCTATTGCTGTGGTTATCATTACTGTCAATCATTACAACTTTGTCTGTGTGCATTGAATTTATTTAATACACGAGTTTCACAATTTGAGTTGAATTACTGAAATAAATGAACTTTTCCACGACATTCTAATTAAAAATTCTGAATGTATTCTATGTAGCGCAAAGAGAACTCCCTTTATAATTTCTGAAAATCTGTCACTCAGTTCACTGCAATCTCACAGTTTCATTATAATCAATGAAGCTCTCAACACAACACAATCAAAGTGCCTACACTTTGTTATAATTAAAGTAGCTTGCAAAACTCAGGATTGAACAAAAAAGTCTGGTGTTTTGAGTGGACTGTGACTTAAACTGAAAAACCACTGATTGGTCATTGGGTTCAAGAAATCAATAGATATGTCTCTGATTTGCTACATTCCTCAACGTTGCTCTAAATAGAAAACATTGACGCTCTCTAGAGTGCAAGCACAAATACACACAATTCACTTCCATTCTTTCCGGGGGAAAAAAATGTATACACTATGAATGAAACAAGACTAAATTTGTACTAGACGTGTGAAATTAATGTGAAATAAAAATATATTTTTTTAGTAATATTAGTGCTTTAATTTAGTTGCCAAAGCAACATTTCTAATTCTTATTTAATTTTTATATTTGATTTCAGCTTCACTAGGTTTATATTAACAACAACAAATATTTTACCGATGTCCTTGCTACGTTTCTTTGCGTTGATCATGGTAATATCCTTGCTGTCTATGGAGGGTCAGAGAGCTCTCAGATTGCATAGAAAATATCTTAATTTGTGTTCCGAATTTGGGTGAACCAACCCTTTAATTTCAGTCTTAGTACCTCTCTGTCTAAAATGCCCATAGTGGCAAGGCCGATGACTCCACTGGCTAGGTCAATGTGAAACACCCCACCGTTGGGTTCCTGTCTCACCAGCTTGTAACGCACAATGCCATTTGCAGTTTCTGGGTCATCAGTATCTTTTGCCATCACTGGTATGATAGGCTCATCTGCAGTAGGAGCATAAAACATAGTATTTTACGCCATGTCAAACAATGTAAAGTCTGAAAAGGATAGAAGAATTTCCAGTCCTACTTTGTTTTTCCCTTTCTGGGACTTCACCCATAAAATGATCCTGGGTACACAAGGGTTTGTTGTCATTTTGGTCAATAACTTTGATGGTGAGTTTGACAGAGGTTTCAATTAAGCTTTGATCCTGTGCTGAAGCATGAGTTGTGACCTGCACACAGACACACATAATATACAGCATTTATCAACACAAAATACTTCTGTGAAGTTACAAGCAAACTCATACTGTTTTAGCATGTTATGTTTAAAATCCAGGTTCTTCGAGGACCGCAGGTCACTCACAATGTATTCTTCAGTTTCCTCTCTGTCCAGGCTTTTGGTGACCCATAAAATGCCTGTATATTTGTCCACTCTGAAAAGACCCTTGTGTGGCTGATCTGCTCCAGCACCTGTGATTTTATAAATCATTCTCATGGATACAGCAGCGGTGGACTTCATCTGTGGAGCAAAACATAAAAACAAAGATGAGAACTTTGCAATGTGAAAATTTAAAACAAATAAGGAGCAAACAGGACAATAACATGCAAATTAAAAACAGGATAAAGCAAAAAGGACATATAGGAGTGAGATACACCTTCACAACTTCCTTTGGGAACGGGCCTTTATCATTTTCTGGAATGCTGACATGGGGTATCAACCAATCCCTCTTTCTTCTGATCATGCAAAAGTGGTTCTGATACTTCAAGAGTGGTTTTACAAGAAAATATTTCAGTCTTTCTACTTCAAAGTTTCATGTTTAATTCAGTGTTACTTGCTGTTTCTTTGTAATTATTTGTGAAAATTCCAGCAATTTTTTCCCCCAGTTTAGTTAATGTGATGAACTACATCTGTGTTCAGAGAAACTGGCTTGAATCCACACACAAAAAAAGACCATTTGGTTAAATGTAATTGCAGAAATGTTAAGATAAATTTTAAATCAGTTGTTTGCAGATGCCACTTGATTTTGCAATGATTTTCATTTAAATTATGTAAATGTCCAAATACTTGTTGAGGCCACTATACATACAGTATTAGAAATAATCAGGAAATTCTGAAAACATTTGTAAATATAATGGTGTAATTTCAGTACCTGCCCAAGTGCACTGCTGTTTCTCTTGTCAAGCATGAAGGGTCCCTGTTGAATGGCTGCTAAATACTCTGGTATGATCTCTCCATGAATTAAGATTATCTGTTAAAAAATTGATGAAAAAAAAAACTGATCAAGTTTCAAATAATTAACGAAGTTGCATTCAATTCCTTTAGGTGAAGTAGGAACACAGAAATATTAACTCAGATGCATTAATTTTCTTTCTCCATCAAGTAATAAAATCAGCAACCAGTATTCAGTGATTTAAACAATGACAATTATGAAATAATTTATATAATTATATTGCAATTATGTAAGATCTATTGTCTGGACTCATTTGCTGACCAAAATACAGATGACAGTGTCATCTTCACATTAACATCTATAAAACAAAAAGATGAGAAAATGGCATTAAACATCACTTACCAAACACACAACACAAGAGAAACTTCCATGAGTGAATCTCTTCATCTTCACAGCAATACTGAACAATAAAAAAAAAAGAGAACTCTAGCCTGTTTTCTGTGTGTATTGTCTGCTACCTTTTCAGTTCCCCGCTTAAGCTGTACTGTAAAGTCTGATCTTAGTGTGCGTGTGTGCGCATGTTTCTTTTACTCTCATAGATTTTGTTACCATTGCCATGCATTATATGACTGATAGACTGCAACGGCTGGACTTAAAAATCATGTGTGTTCTACTGAAGAAACAAAGTCACCTACATCTTGGATGCCCTTGGGGTATGCAGATAAACATCAAATTTTCATTTTGGGGTGAACTATCCCTTTAAGGAAAGGTGCTGAAGGTAATACATCAGAGGACAATGAGATCACCAACAGATGATGGCATGTTTAAAAGCATAAAGTAACACACATGAGAGTCATGCATGGAACATTTCAATGTCAGCTGTAACAAACTACATACATAGATGTCATGCAAGTAAGTTTACAAAATAAAATATCATTATTATATATTATAATAAAATGCAGACGGTTTATAGTGCTTTGATGCAGCAACCCTTAGGGCAGATAGACAAAAGCGCTATGTGAATGCAGTCATCATGGAAAAATTACTTCATGAGAATTTTTTTTGGGAGATGCTCTATATACTGTAAATAAGTTCACATATTATTCAACACTGGCAGCAGGACATCTGGTGAGTTTGCTAGTAATAATCCATAATTAAAGGGCTCGTTCATCCAAAAATGAAGATTGTCATCATTTACCCATCCTCATGTTGTGTCAAACCTGTATGCATTTCTTTTTTCTGTTGAATATAGAATATATTTTGAAGAATGTGGATAACCAAATAACTGCTGGTAGCCATTGATTTCTATAGTATGAAAAAAAATACTATGAAAGCCAATGGCTACCAGCAACTGTTTGGTTACCGACATTCTTGAAAATATCTTCTTTTGTGTTCAACACCAAAAAGAAACACATACAAGTTTGGAATAATATGAGGATGGGTAAATGATGACAATTTTCATTTTGGGGTGAACTAACCCTAAAGCTAATTATTTGCTGAATCGTATAAATTTACTGGATAGAACTAATGATTGATTGCTTAAAGTAATTACTAACCAGCAACTTTGCACATTTAAGTTAAATTAAGTCTTGTAATAAATGTATTAACACAAACTATAAGATCCTCCACCAAGTGTAAAAGAAAAACAAACACTTCCAGCTTTAACAGCCATATTTATTTTATAGTACCTTTACCAGGATATTTCATATAATTTTATATCGTTTAACATAGTAATAGTATGAGACCCTTGGCAAAAACACATATATGGGATAGACATGGCACAGAAAAGCTTCCTATCAGTTTCACAGTTCCTAGAACTCTTTCGCAAGACAAACAGATACAACCTGCTGAAGCTTCAAATAAACCTCAAAGAAGTCATAAGGTTGTACATCACTCTCTCCCCCTGCATGAATTATCATACGGCATTTTCAGACTGACAGCTCTGTAGTGTTATTCTTATACTTGCACATTCCAGATTTTAACCCAAGAACCCCAAACGATCATCAGATTAGGTATAAACTCACTCGTTTAGTTTATGTTGGCCAGACTGTCTCCTAAAAATATAATATACACCTCACTGGATATAATGCACGGCCAAAAAGCATTCCCAAAAGCTTTTTGGTAGTAAACAATCATCAATGTTTTTCAAAATCAAAACCTAAGGAGACATACTATGAAAATGAAAATGTCCTCCCAGAAAAATAAGATATACGATTCAGGACATACTTCATATATTGTACATTCAAATAAAAAACAATTCTCCCTTCTAGATGAAGACTGCAGTTTTACAGTCACATACATTTTTCCCCAGAGTAATTGATAAAGCAATAAACATAAAAAGCTTTAGTCGAAGGCAGACAAGTAGTGCTTCCCTACTAATGCAGTAAACTTAACTATACCATGTAATTAAGGACACTCTCATACATGAGCATAATCTGAAACAGATTATTGCATTAAAAATGTAAAGCATTTCAGTTGATCATTCAATCATAAGCAACTGTCTGAATAAGGCAGGAGGATAAATAAACATTCAGATAGGCACTTTGGAGACTTACCTCATGCATTCAAACCAGACTGCTCTTACTACATGGCTTACCTGAAAATTAATGGCAATGGCAAATCCATCTATCCTTACAGTGTGGTAAACCATTCTAAAATATAGCACAATCTATAAGATGTAATGACAGATCAGAAATCTCAACAAATAAGCCACTATAATGTATGCATCTTACAAAGTAGTATGTATTTATGTAGATTTTGATGCACTATTATGTAAAACAGTTATTTTTGGCTGCTTCTATTCTCAGAAGCTCTTCTTGTATTTTTTTTGTGCCACATATGATCTTCTCTGAGATCTCCTTTCTTAGTGTTACATGGTGAGGGTTCACATGTGTGTTGTGTTACAGGATACTCTCACGAGAGTTTCTGGTGTTAGAGGATGTGCTGGCCCTGTTATCGTTAGAGACAGGCTTCCTATTCCACGTTACAGAGTCCAGTAAGGTCTGATTCAGTTTCTCCATCCAGTCAGACCTCTCCTCCCGTGTGTCCGCTGAAAACCACCACCTGAACAACAAAAGATCATTTAGATTTGAATTAAAACCAACACTCTTATTGCAAACCGATACTAAATGTTAAAGTTATAATGAAACAGAAGTAGCAGATCCTTTCTTGCGTATTGTGGAATTTTGGCTGGACTATTTCTTTGAGTAAATTCATGGATGCATTACTTCTTCAAGGTCTGGCTGTGTTCTTGCTGGAGGGTGTTTGTCTCTTCTAATTCAAAGGTGTGGGGCCGTGCACAGCACTCTCGCTCCACAGGCTTTACACTGCAGAATCCAAAGAGAGAGAGACTGCCATCTGCTGGCTGGAAGAGAAGGAAATTATAAAAAAAATAAAATAAAAAAAACTTTAATGAGGAGGATACACATTTACACACATAATTACACAACCCCACCTTGTTGCCCATCTCATTCGGGTAGTTCCAGTAGAGCAGGTGTCCTCCTTCCAGAAGGAAGTAGAACCTCTGCCAAGCTCCAAAGCCACTCACATCCTCAAACATGGTCTACAAGAGAAGGAAGGTTACAGCATGAATTTCACAAAAACCCAGCACATTTCCTATAGACACACTTCATTAAGCACATAAAATGACAAAAGAATTCATTAAAAACAAACTGAGATCATAGATGAAATTATCATTTAAAATAAAGTACTAATGTAACCAGGGAGACCCTGTTGCAGCTCTACTATTCAACACATTATATATTCTTGTGCCCCAAGCCATTCTCAAACTTGCATTCAAATGGATCAGACTGCGACTATGAAGACAAACTGCTAACGTCTTTCACATATCTGCTTTGCAAATATGTATTGGCAACTGTATTTTCACATTTTTTGCTTATATACAAATTAGTCAAGGGACTACAGGTATGGTAAGTGCCTTTTCCATGTGATAAAACAAGCTAAACAAAACATTGACCAGTGTCTGGAAATCATACACACCAACTCACCAAAAAGCCCTGATGCTGGACGCTGGAGTGGCCCTCATTGTGCAGCCGCAGATATATGTGGCCCTCTAGAGGAGAGAGGAAGGGAACCTACACAATGTAACAAATAGGTTAGTCACGACACACTAAAAAAAAACAACAACAGATGTGCATGTAAAAATGCAGCAACACTGTACACATTTTTAGTAATGGCTTACCACATTACAGTACAGCTTTAAGAAAAAAGGCTCTAAAACAGCAATCATTTCTGAATGGTTCAAATTTAAATTACTTCTCCATTTGTAGTAACACTCCAAAATGATAACATTCAAAGAAAATTAATTTGAACTAAATCTTAAACAGCATTTATTTTACAAAAATATTTTGTAATATTATAAATGTCTTTACTATCACTTTTGATCAAGTCAATACATCTTTGCTGAATAGAAGTATTACATTTCTTTAAATTACTTCAATTTATTAATAAAAATATACATTTTTGTTACATTTTCTAGGTCTGGAAGTACAATTCCATATCTCCACAATAAAATACAGAACATAAGGAGAATAAGAGAGGGTAATTGTGGGGATATTGGTTTAATTTATCCCAAAGCAAGTTATGAATGCCATAATCATTTTATTGACCATTGCACAGGCCAGGGGATTCATGAATAGTAAAAAGATGAACAAAAGGCCCAGCAAACACACTAACACAGAAACTGTGCAAAGCCCAATAAAGCAGAGACTATGGTGGAAAGAGTGACACCTTTTCCTGAAACTCATCTCCAAGGAGTCGCCTGATTTTGCCTTCAAATTTCATCTGAGTGGAGAGAAACAGGAGAGATGGACAGAAACCCAGTTACATGACCACAACCACACCAAAGTGCAAACACAACACAGAACAACCACTGATCTCCTGTTTAACCACTTAAGTGAAAATTAAGCGTGAAGAAGTATATACAATATTTACTGATTTTAAAAAGAAAAAAAAAACTGAGTGATCATGCAACAAGTGTTCAAAAAGATGAGGACAGCAACACAGACATTCACTAATGTGAACAAAGTTTTACTGCATCAATACCTTGTCCAGAGGGAACTTGCTCTGTCCCAATGAATTCAGGGTAATCTTGTGAGAGCCCACTAATGTGAAGTTACTAGAGCGCTGGGCACTCAGACCAGGCAGAGTAGCAGCTATAACGGACGGGAAAGAAATATTAGTGGTGTCTGATACCACCAATCAACCAATGATTAAATGAGTAATTGATGAATACTCACAAGTCACACTCTGGTTAGATTTCTAGAAAAACAAAAATAAACATTGACAAGATGGACCTTTAACAGCTAAAGGTATGCTACCATTCAACAAATATAAAAACACACAATGTGCCCCATTAATGATTTTCTGAATTGTTTGTGAAAGTATTCTTATGTCTTATGAGACAATTCAAAAAGTGTGATTTTATGAACATCATAACAGAAATACAGAAAATACTGACATTTGTTTAGCTCATGTTTCATGAATGAAGCCCAATGATGGCAAGTAAACAGACAGTAGATACATACTGTGATGCTGTGGAGAATCTTCTTGGGTGTCACCTAGAAACACAAACATTTTGCAGCAACTGTGCATTGCCAAAAGTAATAAAACACTCTGTTTTCTCAACATAATGTGTGAAAGTGTACAAACCCTTGACTTTGTTGAGCTGCGGAACTGCGGAGCACTCATACTGCAGGTATTACTCCGAGTACTGGACTATAAAACAGTGGAATACATAATAACACCTAATTATGAACTAGAAAATGTAAGTTAAAGCTTAAAGAAAAAATCTTATCTTTTAAATTAATGAAAATAATTATATTTGGTTGTGCACAAACTCTACCTACCAAACTGTAGACCTCAACATCAATCTCAAAACTGGAGCGAATGTCTTGTCTGTGGAAGGAAAAGATTAAAACCAGTGTAAATCACTAATGTTGTATTTAAAAACCTTCTCTTAAAGCACTGTGCAGTTTTAAACTCTGACATCAAAGAATCATTGTATGTAGCATGTGGACTCACAGTATAATAGAAGTAGGGAAAGTGATGGTGTCTCCATTTTGGGCATCAGCAGCTGTAGCCAAAGGCGTTGCCACAATATTACATGGGCCATAACGGATCAAAACGAAGAAGTAGTGCGTTGGACGGCCTTTATAGAGACAGCAGCCATAACAAACTGTGTAAGAACATTGACCTTGTGCAGTGAAGATTCATCTTCTGCCATTAATAAATACGAATTAATGCTCACCTGTGCGAGCAGAGCACACAAACTCCACCTTGAGGGGCAGCTGTATGCTGCTGATGCTGACTGTGCCTCTGCAGGGCTGCAGAGGTGCATTCTGGGAGTCTGGTTCATCAGACTCACCCTCTCTCAGCCTGCTAACCTCTGCCAGTAATGCTGCTCGCTTCTCACCTGCATTAAACAGACAAATGAGAGCCAAATCAGAACATGCGGTCTCAGTGATTTGCAGGAGGTTCAAGTAGAGAAACGCACTTTGTTCACAAATGTTCCACTTACTAGAGACAAGCAGGAGTTTCTCAGCCTCGGCCTCCTGCTGGGAACCTTTCCCATGTTCCTCATCACTGCAACAGCTCAGAGCCTGCAGCGTCTGTGTAATGATTGTCTGCAACTTGGCTGCCTCCTCGTTTAAAGCCTTAATGGACCAAATACAATCACCTGCATCAGATCTTGAATGCATGAAGTCTCCTAAAATACCCCAGTATAAGTTTCAAACCTTAATTCTTTCCTTGATGTTGATGGGCTTTTTTGAGCAGGTCTTCTCTTGAACCTGCTTCTGAACTCCAGGGGTCAAGCTCTGAGTAGAAGGGGGGTGGATCTTCCTTTGTGAGCGGTAGGCGTCAATGCTGTCAATCGTATGAAAAACAATTGGGTAAAGAGGTAAATATCAGTGGTTGACCAATATATAGAGCTGAGTGGCTCTTGATCAATATAATACTGACATGCACTACCATTCAAAAGATTGGTGTCATTTAATATATATTAAATAAATGAACTTTTATTTAGCAAGGATGCATTAAAATGTTCAAAAATGACAGTAAAGACATTTAGAATGTTACAAAATTGTATTTCTAATTTGAAAAAATACTGTTATTTTGAACTTTCTACTCATCAAAGAATGCTGAGACATATTACCAGAGATTCCACAAAAATATTTTCAACAATAAGAATAATTTCTGTTATAGTTTCGGTTTCTGCTACAATGGTTTCTGAAGGATCATGTAACACTGAAGACTGGAGTAATGATGCTGAAAATTCAACTTCACAGGAATAAATTACACCTTAATTGCAATAATGTTTCTCAAATATTACCAGAGATTCCACAAAAATATTTTCAACAATAAGAATAATTTCTGTTATAGTTTCGGTTTCTGCTACAATGGTTTCTGAAGGATCATGTAACACTGAAGACTGGAGTAATGATGCTGAAAATTCAACTTCACAGGAATAAATTACACCTTAATTGCAATAATGTTTCTCAATATTACTGTTTTACTGTATTTTTTATTAAATAAATGGCTGATTTATTAGTCCATCACTAGTAAAAAAAAAAAAAGAAATAAAAAAGCAAGTACTACCAGTACTAAATACCAAGCTGCACAAACACAGCGATACAGAATGACAAGGCTCTTAACAAATTATTATTGTTATTATTTAAGTGAGCACACCTGTATAAAGGTGGAACACTGTCAGCAGGACTAGCTGTCATTTCTTCAGTTGAGGGCGGTTGTACTGATGGCTCAGACACAGTGATTTCAATCTTCTGTAGAAACATTCAGAAACATACACTTATTGTCTTCTTAACCAACTGATACATTTATATATATGTAATAAATTACACTTTTACACTGTAACTAAAAGGTGCATGTATCTGTATATTTGAACTTTCCATCTACACAAAGGGAAAATTCAGATGCAAAACACAGCCTGGCATTTAATTTCAAAAAGTGGCATAATTATGCTAAAAGGCATTTTGATGAAAATATTTTTGACAAGCACTTGGATTTCATTGGCAACATAATATTTAACCATATACACTGAACACACAAAGTCCTAATGCAATTTTTCCTATTCACTGGATGTCACCATATGAACAATTAAAATCTCTAAAAATCAAACCAATACCAGTGGTGTGACAACAGCCTCAACAGATTTGCTGAGAGGAGAAATAATACAGCTGGGCGGCAGGGTTAGAAAGTCCTCATCACCCATGGTGCCGCTCTCCTTCTCTTCCTTAATTTCTCCTTCACCATCTTCAACAGACTGTAGCTCCTTATCTTTATCTGTTGAAGAACTGGCTTCAGGAGTTTCTTCACCCTCTTCACACATCTCACTCTGGTCAAGAGGATCCTCATTTAATGTGACTGTGACCGGTTCCTGTTTGTCTTTCTTTTCAGCTGTGTCCGATTCTGTTTTGGCTTCCTTTTCAGTCTCTGATGAATTGCTCTCATCTTTCTCCACCTCCTCTTCCTTATTTCCATCTTCACCTTCAGCTTCCTTGTCTGCATGCTGCAGGACGTCGTCAAACATCTTGTCAATTAGAGCGGAAGTGTTCAAACTCCCAGGTTCTGTTACAGAAAAAAAATGTGGTAAATATGGTACTTAAAGTGATAGTTCACCCAAAAAGGAAAATTCTGAAAATTTAGATATTTGATGAAATCAGAGTGCTTTCTGACCCTCCATAGACAGCAAGGGTACTCCCACAGTCAAGGCACAGAAAGGTAGTAAGGACCTCGTTAAACATTCTAATTTACATATTAGGAAAAGTGCATATTGTAGATGATTTAATTGCTTTTTCACAAGTTTTAGTCTTTTTGCATTTCCCTTAAATTTCCATGCATTGGGACAAATTACATTTTAAAAGTACAAATATTTAATGTAGTCTCCACGCAAAATACAAAATGCATAATAATAATAATAATAAGAAGAATAGCATTACATGATTATACAAAAACATAGTTCTAAAGTGTTAGAACTATTTGTGTTATTAACAGATATATTTAATATGCTTACATACATATATTTAATGGTATATGTAATAGGCTTGCTATAACAAATAGGCATAACTAACATATTTCCATGTGCAGTGACAACAAATATGACTGTGGTTGCTTGTTTTTTTATGCTGCTCCGAAATATTAACAAGTTCATTTGGATTAAGCAACATTTAATAACCAGAAAAAAAAACATTATATATATATATATATATATATAGACACACACCTTGCTACGTGTACTGCGTTAAGCTAACCGAGACTTGTCATTTGCACTTATATATTGTTGCTCTTTTGTTAGTTTTGACTGCTTTTACTGTCTTCATTTGTAAGTCGCTTTGGATAAAAGCGTCTGCTAAATGACTAAATGTAAATGTAAATAAAAAAAACAGTATAAAACCTTCTTAAGCAAAAAGAATTTGAAATGTACTGGAAAATCAACTTGCTACGTTAAGACATGGGGTTGGTTGAAAAATAGCAACAAAAAAATTTTTTTTTTTTTAAATATACTTGAATTGCCAGAGTGATTTTACAAAAAGATAGATCTGAATTCCTACCATCTCGTCTCTGGCGGAGCTGCTGGACTCTGGAGCGGATGGAGGCTATGGCAGGAGTGTCTGGTTTCACCTCCAGCTCTGCCAATCTCAAGCGTGTCCTGGCAGGGGATTTCTTGGGGTCCAGGTTCTCCTCTCCCCCTGCTGCCAACCGCCTTTTCTTCAACACATTTTCAAGTTCTGCAAAACATTTTATAACTTATAACTCACACTGATATCATTACGTGGCATTAATGATTAAACTGACAATGACATATAATCTTAAAACAGAATATATATAAAAAATAAAGCTCAGTAACAAATTAATGTAGCGGACATATCTTAGACTTTGCAACAATTGACAAATGACTATACTCCAAAATGGTTTGTATGTTGAAGAGTGAAGGCGGTGACAGATGAGAACACAGTCCTACCACTAGAGGCCGAAGTGTTTTCCTCCAGCGGATCTCTCGGTCTCTTTTGATTTTCCATCTTAATACCTGTCAGCAGAAACACAGCTTTAAATCCAACGAAATTATGTTTAATTAAGACAGTCGTAAATCAAGTGTATGTTACGTATAGGTACTGACTTTTTAATTAAAATCGTTATATACAGACGTGTTACTAACTTTGTTTACACAGAACAATTTATATGGGTTCATTTCAAATTCAAATGTTCATATCAACGTCAATAACGTCGTTATTGTTATACGTCGAGTCGAGTTTTTCCATCTTAATAACTTGTATCGTTATTCGTATAACGTTATCGAGACATTGAGGCCAAAGCGCTGCGAGCTAGCAGTCATTGTTCAAAGACAAAAGTCAAGTCAAGACAAAATCCAAAGTAGTCAGAGTTGTACAGAGTAAAATGTAATGGCATTCTTTTAAATATGTTAAGTCATTTTTGTCGGTATTATTGTTCAAATATATTTTTCTTACCTCAGTAAAATAACCGTGTCAGAGTTTGTGGAATTTTCAAACGTCTGCGTCTGTCAGCTGAGCTCGAGCGTTTGAATTTCCGCGGGCGCTCCGCGCATGCGCAAAGCATCAGCACATGTCAAGTCCTCCAGAGCCCTCCAGTGGATTGACAGCGTTATAAAAATATAGAGATTATTTACAGACATTTAAAAAATAATACTTATACCTGTTATGTCACTAGATGTTGTATACATTTAAGCAATCAACTGAAGCAAAATCCGTCAAAAAAAAAAGCATCTAACTGCCTCCTCATTAAAAAAAATCTATGCCTTCACTTTTTCTGCTCTTTTATTATCCTTATTTTATGGCAAGTCGCTTTGGATAAAAGCATCTGCCAAATGAATAAATGTAAATGTAAAATCCACATTCTCATAAGAAAGCAAAGAGCTTTTCTACACATGACTACAAATGTGATACAGAATTCAGACCAGGGAATGAAATTTATCTGAATCCTTTTGAGGTAATTTTGCATAATTGTATTTAATAACCTTGTTGTTTTCATAAGAAGGCATAACATTTCCATGTTCAGAGACTACAATGTGACTTAAAATTGTCTGTTGCTTCTTTCTTTGTGCCATTCTGAAATATCAACAGATTAAGATCATTTGGATTAAACGTCTTTTAATAACCAAAGAGGCAGATTATAATGGACATCATAAAAAATACGAAGACAAAATAAAAAATTCTGCCGTGAAAATATATTATCTTGTTCCCAAATTTCCAAAAGGGAGTTTCTGAGGTTTATCACTCACATTGGACCAGAACAAATACTAACAATATAGACACATATAACAGAAATGTAAAAAGGAAAACATTGTTTACTATTAGGAAACATGGTGCACCAGTTTTACTTCATAAATCCATATACAGAACAGACCATTTTGATAAAGCTAAATTATTTTGAAATGTACTTGCGAGCTGATGTAACGTTAATGTAAAATGTAATGTGTAATACAGCCTTCAATAAAACTGGTCCCTATGACCTTCATACTTTGCACTGCAAATAATATCAGTTTAACCATTGATTTTTGTTGTGGCTCACTGTAGTAGTTGGACACACCTGCAGTCACTACAAAGTGCAAAGTGAAAATGTCTTCATTGCACAAGCAGAGAAACAAATAACGTACAGCAGAAAAAACCAAGAGTGCTAAATTCATAGAAACCTCAGACTGCACAACAAATTAAATTTAAAGCAAGTAAAATTTAGGTCTTATGGAACATATACAGAATAAATTAGAAGTAGAATCTTTATCATTATTCTAATCCTAGTGATGTAAAAAAACACACTTAGATTATTACAGATCCTAGACAAACCCAATATAACTATGATGAAAGATATGTAGACATGAACTATTTCAACAAAACGGCCAAAGCACAAGAACAGTTCTATACCAAGCAGAGACATAAAAGGTGCAAGGTATTTGCAAGAAGCTGAAAAAATAACTGGCCTTAATTATAGAAATGCTTTTTGATTTGCATGCTAGCTGTATCTGCTGCTGACGGAACTACATGAACAGAATAAGACTTTACCTTCACATTTGTAACCCACAAAAAACCCATTTAAAGTGAGTGTTTGCATTCACATTTTCCAAAACGAATTGCAAGCATCTGTTGCGAACTCAAATTAAAATCAGCTGTAGGCATTTTTATGTGTACACAACAATATAAAAGACAGTAAGGAACAAGAAAAACACATTGAAAAATTCACAGCTGAAAACAATCCTTCAAATATAATTTTATATATGAAACTTTAAAATGTTGTTCTTTATTAGTTAGTAGTTTTGCTAAAGTTCGAGTTAAAATAAATCACGGTGACAGTGATGTCGTCCCGGTACATGCGTGCTAAATCGCTAGGCAGAGCCAGCATGGTTGCCAGTCTCTCCTGGTCCATCTCTCCGTACTCATTTGTGCCCAGTGCATGACGAATCAAATGCGTGGCTCCGTTCAAATCCAAAGCGGGTGTTGCTCTGGCCTGTCGCCGCAGCAACAGTTGGTGCATTTGTCCCAAGCTGAGTTGGCTGGCTGAAACCCGTGCTTGCAGATGAATACCAGTCAGATGTTCCGCTACAAGCCTCACCGCCTCATCATTGGTCATCTCGTCCCAAAGACCATCAGAGGCCAAAATCAAAAACCGGTCCTGTGGTCGAAGCCGGTGGTAGGTGACTTCTGGTGTAGCCTCTAAATAAGGTGGGGTGAGATAATTAGGTGGAGCGTATTGATAAATATTCAGTGCTTCTAAATCAGAGTCTCCGTTCTCTAGAACACTCTGCTGGAGTTCACGACTCCATTTGAATCGAACGTCTCCAAACGCACGCAACGGCATCAGGACCCCGAGCAGCCTGTCGTCTACGATTATGGTTTGCCGTTCACTAGCCGGGTGCTGCCGCCATACCCGCTCCACCTCGGTTACATTGGCAGCGTTGTGGTCTTGTGTGAGCGGTAAAGCACTCCAGCTCCCATCATGCTCCTGGACACCCAAAACTGCCCGACAGTCTCCTGCATTTGCAACATGCACACCTTCTGGTCCAACGTAAGCCACACAAGCCGTGCAGCCAGCGAAGGCGGCCTGGATGGCCGTGTTCCGCATCAGGTCATTTGCAAGCGGCACCTGTGCCTCAAGAGAAAGATCCGTGTCCAGTCGCTGGAACGCATAGCTGAGAGCATCTGCGGGACGCATGCCGTCACTGTGTTCTTCGCTCGCCAGAAGCTCCTGCCAGTAAAAACGCAAATGATCGACATAGAGGGCTGCTGATTCCCTGTAGTTGTAGTCATTATGGTGCTTGTACCACTGCAGAATGGGCGGCACGGGTCGTAAGGTCTCCATGGCGGCCTCTAGATCCTCCAGGACGGACTCTGACATCATCGATACAGCTATGTAATAAAGCAGACGCTCACTGACCGCTTGAGCGCACGCATGTCCACCGTGTCCATCGAACATGCCAAAAAGCATGCCACGGGTCTGGAGGCAGCTGGCGCTGCTGCGTCGGTCCTCTAGCGGAGTGTTGGCTGAAAGCTGGTTGCTTTCAAACCTGAGCACTGGACTGGGACCACCACGGCCATCAAACTCTGGAATACGAACGGATTGCTCATTAGCACACAGAACTGCATTGATCTGCAGCTGGCTCAGCTGGAAGTCCATTTCACGTCTTGGAGCACGCAGTGTGTTTTCTCCTTCCTGTCCTGAGCTTCCATCTGATCGACCACGACGGGAGGAGAAGATCCGGGCTTGAGAAGGGAGCGGGAAGGTTCTACACCATGTATCAGGTAAAACATGCTGGCTGGGTGCAAAGAAACTGGTCAGATGTCTTCCACCAGTGTAAAGGAGGAGCCTTGAACGCAAATAGCCAGACATTACTGCCTGGATGCAGTGATCAAAGCAGTCTACAACTCCAGCATCTGGGAAAACACAACGTGAAATCACAATATTTAATAACAGGCAGTCTTAAATTGATCTCATCACAGAAAATGGACATTGTGCAGATTAAAAGCTGCAGAAATAGTTGTGTTTAGCAGCCTCACGTCAGTGAAAGTTACTAAATGTTAAAATTACATAGTGTTATGAACTCATAAATAATGCAAAATCTTCAAAGTATAAATCTAGCCGTCTTCGCAATGTAATAAATCCAACAACAAGGCTTTCTCGTAACTGCCAGGGTAAAACATAAAATCTATATACGTATAAACAATGTTGTGTTTACTTCATGGTTTTAGTGTAAAACGTGCTAGCATTACAAGCTAACATGGCTTTCGCGATAATTGGCTAATGTAATGGTTAATTTTAATATTTAGTGATGTTTCTCAGCTAAGTTATGTAACTGAACACATATTCTGGAATTATCTTTATAATAATTTCCTTCAAAGAGCAGCTTTAATATAAGTAAATGCTGAGTCAATCAGACACATACCTGGCCCTGCTCGCTGAATGATCTTCTTCTGCTTTTCAGTTCCATCGTAGCAGGTTGCAAACATTGAGCTCAGAGCGCCCCCTACAGGGCCGTGTGTACTCAATATTCAGATACATATATAACATCACAATTCATTAGTAATTAAATCATTTATGTTATATTATACACACAGATTAAAAATTAAATAATATAAATGACTGAATGACTAATTAATTTATTTCATTCACTATGCCGTCTTTCCGTCACGTGATTCAAAAAAGCGGCACGTGACGTTACAGAGCGGGATTATGAAGTTCTTCCGTTGAAATGTCGTTGGTCTTTCGTGTCAACGATTCTGGCCTCTTCAGCAATTTTTTTAAAAATTATTTCGTAAGAAATTAGGATTGGGTCGTGGATATAATGTAAAATAACCAAATTAAGTCGGGAAGGTAAATATTGTTGCGTTCAGCGAAGTTGAAGAAATATTTGATTAACGTTATGGATATTAACGTTATTTGCTGACCGTTTATGTAACGTTACCATATTCTAACAACATTTGTTATCTTTTTTGCAGGATATAGTGACACTTTGGATATAGTGTTGGTGGAAAGGATAGTTTAATGTGTACAAAAAAAAAAAAATGGAAGGTGAGCATTTTATCGTTACAGAATGTGTAGTTTATTTTTGGTAACCATATAAAACGTTCATTTATAACATTAAAAATGTTATTATATAATATTTTTCTTATGCATCTTTAAATATCTTGAAACTTTGAGATGTGCAAAACTAAACTGTAAACAGTTATGCAAAGTTTTTAAAGACGACAGTTATCGTGACGTCATTTCCGTTCTGTCTTGTTCAAATGTACCTGGTCTTAAAGGGGGTCATATGATGCTTTTTTAAAGATCATTATTTTGTGTATTTGGTGTAACAGAATATGTTGACATGCTTTAATGTTCAAAAAACACATTATTTTTCAAATACTGTACATTATTGTAGGTCCTCGATGCCCCGCCTCTCTCAAACGCTTCGTTTTCTACAAAGTCCCTCCTTCCGACAAGCGCAGTCTGCTCTGATTGGCCAGCTGACCCAGTGCATTGTGATTGGCCGAACACCGCAAGCACTCGTCGGAAATGTAACTCCCCTTACCATAATCGCGAGCATCATCTTTCAAAATAAATGTAAAGACAGAGCCCGAAAGGGGAACAGAGTCGCGTGACAGACACAGTGATGAAGCTGGTATGTGTTTGCAGTACACAAGCCACGGTTAAGACAGCTGACTCCACTGTGATGTGACCCTGTCTCTCTCGCACACACACACACACAATGTGCAAAACTCTGCATTTGAACAGTCAATAGTAAATACTTTTAGCTAATAACAAAACAGTAGCTGATTCAGAAGCGCCAGATTGTCATAGCAAAGTCAGAATTACCTCCTCTCCTAGGTTCACGAAACGGTCGTCTATAAAATGCATTGCTGTTCTGTTGTAAGTAATCTTAAAGATTCCTAAATGCATCTACTTCCGGAAGGCCAAATAAAGTGCTTTTGCTTTCGCCTAGAAACACACAGCGTCTCCCTGACATGCTGCTTCAACACTAACTGCGGTTACTGAAACCACGCCTTCTTTCTTTGCGTGCACATTTGGGCGGCATTATGCTAATATTTCCACATAGTGAGGTAGATATGTGGGGGCGTGTTAGAACGAGCCATTTTAGGGGGGTCTGGCAGAGTCTTAACTTTGATAAAGAATATCTCTTTGGTTTTGAGACTTTAGTCTTTGCAACTTCAGGGATCTTATCTATACACAATCAGCTTGTAACACTCCAAAGAGAAAGGAAAACTTGAAATCGCATCATATGACCCCTTTAAGTGGAAACATAACATTTATTAATATTATATTGTGTTTTATTGCACAATACCCATCTGTTGTACAGATCCAAGTACATATTTTGCTTTCCAAGCTAAAGAACTTAACAGTCTTCACGTTTGCAGCTACCAAGACAGATTTGCGTCTGTTACTGGAATGTCTGAAATACCAGATGAAATGGCCTGGATCACAGAAACAAGCTCTTCTAACTATCATCTCAATCTGCAAACAGAACGGTCTGATTTACAGCTCAGAACATACTCATTTGACACTCTCATACAAACCTACAAATATTGAGCTTTAATGACCCTTTTGATTGTCTTTAATGATTTTTCTTTGTGTATTAGGTCAGTATGTGGAGTTCTTCAGAGAGATTGGAGGAATTTCCTTCATCTATAACCTGTCAAAGTCCAGCACTTTCTCTCAGGTTAAAGAGACTGCTCTATTTACACTTGCATCCTTGGCTGAATTACATGGTGTGTATGCAGTTTACGTTATATATGCATGTGTATATGTGTGTGCTTTTATAATTGTGTTGTTAAATAGTTAATATTTGAAATTTAACTTTTGACTATATACATATTCTTTCTTTGCAGAGAGCTGTAAACAGTCACTGTGCAGAGAAGAGACGTTTCGTGACTTAGCGCAGCATCTGGAACAGAAAATGCCTCTGACGGAAAAAAGAGTAGCGGTGTACATGCTGTCTGTATTGGTTGCCAACAACAGTAAGGTTTACCATAAAACTTAAGTCCAATGAGACCATTCCTGTGCTTATACTGTGGTTTTCAGAGTGGGGGGGACAGATTGGCAATTCACAAACAATTTGTGTATGTATGTTTTCTGTTCCAGGATCTGGACAGACTCTCGCTAAGACTTCCAGGTGTATCGAAACCTTGCTCAATTTGTTCAGGTACACACATTAAGTTTAGTTTGTTCAGGTATGCATAGTTATCTGCCTTTATTTTTATTCTTTAAAACAAGGCTGTAAGGGATAGACTACAGTGTTTAATTAATAGATCACATACTTTTCAAAACTCTTCTTTCAAAACTGTTTTATGGAGAAAATGTATTTTCTAAAATCATCTTTAATGGAAATTACTGGCTATTTGCTTGCAGAAAATTCTGTCATTAGTTGTTCTGTATGACTTTTTTCTTCTGTGTGATATTACTTAAGAATGTTTAAACTTTTTCTCCATATAATAAAAACTTCTTGGGCAATATTGGACCCCAATGACTTTCACTGTACATGGCCAAAAAATAAAATTTTGAAAAATATTTTCTGTGTTCCACAGAAGATAGAAAGTCATACTGGTTTGGAACGACACAATGAAAAGCACATTTCGCACAAAAAATGCTAGTAAATTTCACAAACAGTTACAAAGAAACGGCAAGTATTAAATTAAATGAGATTTTGAAGTAGAAAAACTGATATAGAATTTTCTTGTAAAACCTACAACAGACAATATCCTGGATAAATGAAAACATTTCCAAACAAAACATGATATGCTCCCCTACTTGGTGCAGAAGGGGAACATTTCAAACTCTGTCTGGTGTTTTGTTGAAGTGAATCACAGAAATCCGGATAAACATCTGGAAATTCACTTAAACACTCCCACTTGCTCAACAGAACCAGATTTCAGTTTATTTTCTTTTTTTATGCCACTTTTCAGGCATAGTTTTCCAGATCTTAACGCATCTTATGAGCAGCTGCAGTTGTGGGCCACTGTGTCTAGTGCTCTCTGTGGCTCTGTCAACAACCCTCAAAATGGTATGGTTATGTTCTCCATCCCTTCTCTACCCTTTTACCATCACTAAACCCTATACGTTTGTTCAGAATGAGATTGAGAGACACATTTGTATTTCCACACATGCAAATAAACACTTGAAAAATCTTCCAATGCATTGTTTTTGACAGAGGAGAATCAGAATGCATGCACGTATGTGTTTCCCCTGATGAAGACCTGGCTGCAGGAAGTGGCATTGCCCAGGGCAGAGCTGGCTCAGCCTATATGCTCGTTTATTGGCATGACTGTTGCAAACAATCGTGAGCACAAACAACATAAGAACAAACTAACATATAATGCCACATTGTGTGCTCTCATGTTAATATGTGCTTTTCAGCTTGTGCACAGGAGTATTTTGTGTCAGTGGGAGGCCTGGATTCACTCTCAGACAGTCTTACCAGAGTGTTGTCTCAGTCAGCACACAGTGCTCCTGCTTGTAAGATGGCTACAGTAATCACTAAAACACTCTCTGCCTGCATCTCTAACAATGGTAAGACACATGCACACACACCCCAGGAGAACTACTTGATTGTATTGGATTCTCCATTTCTTTTGTCTTCCTGTTTCAGAGCAGTTAGTATCTTCTTTTTCAAAGTTGAGGGTCATTCCAGGGCTGTTGTGTCTGTTGTCCAGCCCAAACCTTGACCCACAAGACCAGCTCGCAGTGGTTTTGATGATTGGACACCTCACGGATGCCTGTGGTGAGTTTGTGGGTACAAGATGTTAGTAAAATGACATTTGCACTACAGATGATTAAGTAAGCTCTAGATTCAAATTCCTGCTACTTATTTTTATCATTCTCATTGATTTTCTGCTATTTAGCCCAATGCACTTAAAGGGGTCATATGATGCTTTTTTAAAGATCATTATTTTGTGTATTTGGTGTAACAGAATATGTTGACATGCTTTAATGTTCAAAAAACACATTATTTTTCAAATACTGTACATTATTGTAAGTCCTCTATGCCCCGCCTCTCTCAAACGCTTCGTTTTCTACAAAGTCCCTCCTTCCGACAAGCGCAGTCTGCTCTGATTGACCAGCTGACCCAGTGCATTGTGATTGGCCGAACCCCGCAAGCACTCGTCGGAAATGTAACGCCCCTTACCATAATCGCGAGCTTCATCTTTCAAAATAAATGTCAAGACAGAGCCCGATAGGGGAACAGAGTCACGTGACAGACAGTGATGAAGCTGGTATGTGTCTGCAGTACACAAGCAACGGTTAAGACAGCTGACTCCACTGTGATGTGTCTCGCTCTCTCTCTCTCTCTCGCTCGCGCGCGCACGCACACACACACACCCAATGCGCAAAACTCCGCATTTAAACAGTCAATAGCAAGTACTTAAACTAATAACAAAACAGTAGCTGATTCTGAATTACCTAGCAAAGTCAGAATTACCTCCTCTCCTAGGTTCACGAAACAGTCGTCCATAAAATGCAT